CATTCCAGGATTCTTTATCTCCCTGAATGATTTTAAGTTCTTCTCCCACCAAACCATTCCAGGATTCTGTTTCTCCCTGAATTTCATGAACCTTCCCAGAGCACCGCTGCTTCCATTCTGCAAAGCCCAGCTGATTTTTCCTCTCTCCCTACAAAATAAAATCCCTGGAGCCGAAGGGCTTTCCTTGCAGAGGATTTAGGCTGAAGTGAGGAGCTGGGATGTTTAGGATGCCACCGTGGCAGCTCCTTGCAGTCACAGCCGGCTGTCAAATGTTCCAGCTCCTTCCCCCTCTGAGTTTTCCCACTTTTATCTTTGCTTTATCTCCTCAGTGGGACACAGCTGGAGCCAAAAACGAGGAGCAGGGTGACCCAGGGGGCCACAAACCTGAACCAGGGGGGCTCCAAAGCCTCCTGTGAAAGCGAGTTTGGAGGTTTTGCCCTTCCCACCACGCCTGGGAATTCTGCAGGTCATTCCTCACATTCACCAGGGGAAACATCATCGTTTGTGAGCTCCTGGGTTCTTATCCCAGTGATGTTTCCTCTTTGGAATGAGGGGTGAGGGGGCTGGAATTTCCTCTGAGCCCTGCTGTGGTCAGGACTCTCCATCAGCTTTTGCACTGACAGAGCAAAGCCAGCGTGATCCCACCAGGATTCCCGGGGGAGGAGATCTGCCAGTTTTGTCCTCCAGCTGCTCTTCAAGCCAGGCTTTACCAAAACAGGAGGTGCTAAAGCGAGTTTGGCTGTTGGATTCTGCATTCCCACCCTGCTGGGATTCCCAGATGGATCTGACTGTGTGCACAGGCTGTGGATTAACAGGGTGAGGGCTGGTTTTGGTACCTGTCATCCAAGGGAACCACTGGAGCTGGGGTTTGGTTGGATATTGGGAAAAGTTTCTTCACCTTGAGGGTGGCTTTGGACACTTCCAAGGATCCAGGGGCAGCCACAGCTCCTCTGGGAATTCCATCCCAGCCCCTCCTGTCCCTCAGAGCCAGGAATTCCTCCCCAATATCCCACCCAAATCTCCCCTTTTCCAGTGGGAAGCCATTCCCTGTGTCCTGTCCCTCCATCCCTTGTCCCAAAATCCCTCTCCACGTTTCCGTAGCTCCTTCAGGCACTGGAAGGCCGCAATGAGGCCACCCCAAAACTTCTGAACGATCCCAATTTACCCAGTCTTTCCTCATAATTTAGAAAGCCTTGGAGCCCCTTTGGTGCAAATTCCATGGGGCTGGGAAGTGCTGGGAAGATGGAAAACCAGGGGGTGGGAACCCACGGTGACCCCAGGGTGACAGGGCCCTGCATGGGGACGTTTTTGCCCAAATTTGGCCCGGCTGGATCAGCTCTGCCGCACAGGGAGCCCCACTCCTGCAGAAGCAGCTCGAGAACCCTCGAGCCGAGCTCCTTTTCATCAGACACGGGCACAGCTCCGCTTCCCAGTTTGGAAAAGCTGCGGATAAGAGGGACAGGATGAAATTTTCCACGGCCAAAAGTCACCCGGCCGTTCCATGCGGATGTGCTCAGGCAGATCCCTTCCCATCACAGCTCATGTTTGGAGGGTTATGGCACATCTCTTCCCATCCCGGAGCTTTTCCATCCTTTTCCTGCTGGGAAGGGGCAGTGCTTGACCTCTGAAAGCTGGGAAAATTTATTGCCGAGACACAGCAAGGTCAGGAACACAGAATTAATTGCATTAAATCTGTGCAAAAGACCTCCAAACTCATTAAACCCAACCTTTGACCAATCAGCACTTCTCACCCAGACCACCCCACTCTGTCCTTAGCAGAAGTTCAATATTTGAGCATAAAAACGATCTTTAAAGGCCTTTTCAACCCAAACCCTGAAGTGTTTTGGGGAAGGGTGAACGGTGGGAGAGTGGTGGTAAGGAGGAGGGAGACAGGCAGGAAGGGGTTAATCCTTCTGGCAACACCAGAATTCCATCCCTCCCTTGTTAAAATTCCTTTTTATTTTTATTTGTTGCCGTTTTCCACTTCCAGTGCAGATTTTAGAGGATTTCTTGGAGGGTGA